CATCATGCTAACGTGTTCTGATGCTAAAGCTTCATCATGCTAACGTGTCCTCATGCTAATGCTTCATCATGCTAACGTGTCCTCATGATATTGCTTCATCATGCTAATGTGTCCTCATGCTAATGCTTCATCATGCTAAGGTGTTCTCATGCTAATGCTTATCATGCTAACTTGTCCTCATGCTAATGCTTCATCATGCTAACGTGTCCTCATGCTAATGCTTCATCATGCTAACGTGTCCTCATGCTATTGCTTCATCATGCTAACGTGTCCTCATGCTAATGCTTCATCATGCTAACGTGTCCTCATGCTAATGCTTCATCATGCTAACTTGTCCTCATGCTAATGCTTCATCATTCTAACGTTTCCTCATGCTAATGCTTCATCATGCTAACGTGTTCTCATGCTAATGCTTCATCATGCTAATGTGTCCTCATGCTATTGCTTCATTATGCTAACGTGTCCTCATGCTAATGCTTCATCATGCTAACGTGTCCTCATGCTAATGCTTCATCATGCTAACTTGTCCTCATGCTAATGCTTCATTATTCTAACGTTTCCTCATGCTAATGCTTCATCATGCTAACGTGTTCTCATGCTAATGCTTCATCATGCTAACGTGTCCTCATGCTAGTGCTTCATCATGCTAACGTGTCCTCATGCTATTGCTTCATCATGCTAATGTGTCCTCATGCTAATGCTTCATCATGCTAATGTGTTCTCATGCTAATGCTTATCATGCTAACTTGTCCTCATGCTAATGCTTCATCATGCTAACGTGTCCTCATGCTTATGCTTCATCATGCTAACGTGTTCTCATGCTAACGTGTCCTCATGCTAATGCTTCATCATGCTAAAGTGTTCTCATGCTAATGCTTCATCATGCTAATGTGTCCTCATGCTAATGCTTCATCATGCTAAGGTGTTCTCATGCTAATGCTTTATCATGCTAACTTGTCCTCATGCTAATGCTTCATCATGCTAACGTGTCCTCATGCTAATGCTTCATCATGCTAACGTGTTCTCATGCTAACGTGTCCTCATGCTAATGCTTCATCATGCTAACGTGTCCTCATGCTATTGCTTCATCATGCTAATGTGTCCTCATGCTAATGCTTCATCATGCTAACGTGTCCTCATGCTAATGCTTCATCATGCTAACGTGTCCTCATGCTAATGCTTCATCATGCTAACGTGTCCTCATGCTATTGCTTCATCATGCTAACTTGTCCTCATGCTAATGCTTCATCATGCTAATGTGTCCTCATGCTAATGCTTCATCATGCTAACGTGTTCTCATGCTAATGCTTTATCATGCTAACTTGTCCTCATGCTAATGCTTCATCATGCTAACGTGTCCTCATGCTAATGCTTCATCATGCTAACGTGTTCTCATGCTAACGTGTCCTCATGCTAATGCTTCATCATGCTAACGTGTCCTCATGCTATTGCTTCATCATGCTAATGTGTCCTCATGCTAATGCTTCATCATGCTAACGTGTCCTCATGCTAATGCTTCATCATGCTAACGTGTCCTCATGCTAATGCTTCATCATGCTAACGTGTCCTCATGCTATTGCTTCATCATGCTAACTTGTCCTCATGCTAATGCTTTATCATGCTAACTTGTCCTCATGCTAATGCTTCATCATGCTAACGTGTCCTCATGCTAATGCTTCATCATGCTAATGTGTTCTCATGCTAACGTGTCCTCATGCTAATGCTTCATCATGCTAACGTGTCCTCATGCTATTGCTTCATCATGCTAATGTGTCCTCATGCTAATGCTTCATCATGCTAACGTGTCCTCATGCTAATGCTTCATCATGCTAACGTGTCCTCATGCTAATGCTTCATCATGCTAACGTGTCCTCATGCTATTGCTTCATCATGCTAACGTGTCCTCATGCTAATGCTTCATCATGCTAACGTGTCCTCATGCTAATGCTTCATCATGCTAACTTGTCCTCATGCTAATGCTTCATCATTCTAACGTTTCCTCATGCTAATGCTTCATCATTCTAACGTGTCTCATGCTAATGCTTCATCATGCTAACGTGTCCTCATGCTAATGCTTCATCATGCTAACGTGTCCTCATGCTATTGCTTCATCATGCTAATGTGTCCTCATGCTAATGCTTCATCATGCTAACGTGTCCTCATGCTAATGCTTCATCATTCTAACGTTTCCTCATGCTAATGCTTCATCATGCTAACGTGTTCTCATGCTAATGCTTCATCATGCTAATGTGTCCTCATGCTATTGCTTCATCATGCTAACGTGTCCTCATGCTAATGTTTCATCATGCTAACATGTCCTCATGCTAATGCTTCATCATGCTAACTTGTCCTCATGCTAATGCTTCATCATTCTAACGTTTCCTCATGCTAATGCTTCATCATGCTAACGTGTCCTCATGCTAATATTTCATCATGCTAACGTGTCCTCATGCTAATGTTTCATCATGCTAAGGTGTTCTCATGCTAATGCTTCATCATGCTAACTTGTCCTCATGCTAAAGCTTCATCATTCTAACGTGTCCTCATGCTAATGCTTCATCATGCTAACGTGTTCTCATGCTAATGCTTCATCATGCTTACGTGTCCTCATGCTAATGCTTCATCATGCTAACGTGTCCTCATGCTAATGCTTCATCATGCTAACGTGTCCTCATGCTATTGCTTCATCATGCTAACGTGTCCTCATGCTAATGCTTCATCATGCTAACGTGTCCTCATGCTAATGCTTCATCATGCTAACTTGTCCTCATGCTAATGCTTCATCATTCTAACGTTTCCTCATGCTAATGCTTCATCATGCTAACGTGTTCTCATGCTAATGCTTCATCATGCTAACGTGTCCTCATGCTAATGCTTCATCATGCTAACTTGTCCTCATGCTAATGCTTCATCATGCTAACGTGTTCTCATGCTAATGCTTCATCATGCTAATGTGTCCTCATGCTATTGCTTCATCATGCTAACGTGTCCTCATGCTAATGTTTCATCATGCTAAGGTGTTCTCATGCTAATGCTTCATCATGCTAACTTGTCCTCATGCTAATGCTTCATCATTCTAACGTGTCCTCATGCTAATGCTTCATCATGCTAACGTGTTCTCATGCTAATGCTTCATCATGCTAACGTGTCCTCATGCTAATGCTTCATCATGCTAACGTGTCCTCATGCTAATGCTTCATCATGCTAACGTGTCCTCATGCTATTGCTTCATCATGCTAACGTGTCCTCATGCTAATGCTTCATCATGCTAACGTGTCCTCATGCTAATGCTTCATCATTCTAACGTTTCCTCATGCTAATGCTTCATCATGCTAATGTGTTCTCATGCTAATGCTTCATCATGCTAACGCGTCCTCATGCTAATGCTTCATCATGCTAACGTGTCCTCATGCTATTGCTTCATCATGCTAATGTGTCCTCATGCTAATGCTTCATCATGCTAACGTGTCCTCATGCTAATGCTTCATCATGCTAACGTGTGCTCATGCTAATGCTTCATCATGCTAACGTGTCCTCATGCTAATATTTCATCATGCTAATGTGTCCTCATTAATGCTTCATCATGCTAAGGTGTTCTCATGCTAATGCTTCATCATGCTAACTTGTCCTCTTGCTAATGCTTCATCATTCTAACGTGTCCTCATGCTAATGCTTCATCATGCTAAGGTGTTCTCATGCTAATGGTTCATCATGCTAACTTGTCCTCATGCTAATGCTTCATCATGCTAACGTGCCCTCATGCTAATGCTTCATCATGCTAAGGTGTCCTCATTCTAATGCTTCATCATGCTAACGTGTCCTCATGCTAATATTTCATCATGCTAACGTGTCCTCATGCTAATGCTTCATCATGCTAAGGTGTTCTCATGCTAATGCTTCATCATGCTAACTTGTCCTCATGCTAATGCTTCATCATTCTAACGTGTCCTCATGCTAATGCTTCATCATGCTAACGTGTTCTCATGCTAATGCTTCATCATGCTAACGTGTCCTCATGCTAATGCTTCATCATGCTAACGTGTCCTCATGCTAATGCTTCATCATGCTAACGTGTTCTCATGCTAATGCTTCATCATGCTAACGTGTCCTCATGCTAATGCTTCATCATGCTAACGTGTCCTCATGCTAATGGCAAACCTTCTCTTCATCTTTCCTCTGGCAGATTATTTTGCTCCTCTCTTCTTGTCCAAACTGTTGGTCTTATTTTCCAGACAGGAAACTCAAACCACCTTCTGTTTTTCCTCTAAACACAAACTTGGACTCCATGTTTTGGGAAAACAACAACCTGACGCTTTCTAGTCAGGAGGGAGCTTTCATGTTTCCTAAACAGATGCAACTGGATCAGAACCTGCTGGGGTCTGGTTCCCAGTTTGGTTCCCAGTTTGGTTCCCAGTCTGGTTCCCAGTTTGGTTCCCAGACTGGTTCCCAGTTTGGTTCCCATGATGCCATTTGGAGTAGAAAAAAAATCAAATAATAGTCAGAGGATTTATAAAAATAAAGGAAGAGATCATTTAAAGACTAAATCCGTAATATAAGAGTTGGAAATGATCATTATTAATAAACGATTATTATAATGATGTTTTGCTGATCATTATTAGTAAAACAAAAATAATGAATGTAAAATATGACAGTAATTAATGAGGTGATAATCGTGAATCTGTTTTCATGTTTATTTTGAATCTTAATTGAAAATAAAACATTAAATTAATTTGAGTCATTTATTCTAAACACTGAGACCCAGAATATGTAATCTGGTTCTGGTTCTGGTTCTGGTTCTGGTTCTGGTGGACCTTCTCTCAGACCTTCTACACGGAGAATCTCAGAACCGGTTCAACAGGAGTTCTGGTTCTGATCCAGTAGAACCTCTCGGTTCCATTCAAGCTGACCTGAGTCCAGGGATCCCAGTGACGTCAGAGGCGGGCGTGTTCTTGGCGTGACGTCACGGCATTCAGCCTCCTCCGCTTTAAAGCCGCCGCCGCCGCGCAGTCCCGCAGACCGACCGCGCCGCCGAACCTTGGACCGGGACCGCGTTCAGTGCTGCCTCTGCCCGGATGGAGCTGCGGGGTTCGCGACGCTCCTGACCCGGCTCGGTTTGACCTAACGGAACCAGAAGTTCGGTTCGGTTCGGTTGGGTCCTCCCCGTCCCGCCGCAGGCCGCCGTCTCCCATGCGATTCTTCAGACTCACATTCAAGTGCTTCGTGGATTGTTTTTGAAGGTCGCGGTTCGGCTGCGGTTTGGTTCGTTTTTCTCTTCAGTTCAACATTTTCTTTTTTTTTTTTTTGACAGAAAAAAAAATTCAAAATTATTTTTTAACACATTTCGATTTTCTGACCATTTTTAAATGTAACTAAATAAACTGAATTAAAAGAGAGCAGAGGGTCCGGACCGAACCGGACCCGCTCTGGTTCTGACTGGTCGGTGAGACTCTGACCTGGACCTGGACTGGGGCTGCTGGGGTGTTACTGGTTCTGACCCGGTGTCGGTTCTAAAGCAAGACTGGTTCTGATCGCGTCTGAGTGGTTCTGATTGGGTTTTACTGCTGGTTCTGAGTGGTTCTGATTGGGTTCTGATTGGTTCTGGTCGGGTTTGAGTGGTTCTGACTGGGTTCTGATTGGTTCCGATTGGGTTTTACTGCTGGTTCTGATCGGGTCTGAGTGGTTCTGACTGATACTCTGTGAGAGAATCTAAGTGCTTGAGCACTGACAGAGACTGGACCTTCGAACCTGGACTGTTCTGACCCGGTTCTGTCTGAGATGGAGAAACCGACCCGGCCCGCCTCGTCCTGCTCTGTGGTTCTGGTGGAGGAGACCAAGAGGAACCCGCTCCTCCTGTCCAACGGGTCCCTGGCCCCAGGAAGTGGTACCGCTCAGGATAAAAGAGGGGGCGGGGCCATCGGGACGGGTCCGGGGTACCAGGAGCGAGAGACTTGGACCCGGCAGATGGACTTCATCATGTCCTGCGTGGGATTCGCTGTCGGACTCGGGAACGTGTGGCGGTTCCCCTACCTGTGCTACAAGAACGGAGGAGGTGAGGCTCAGCACGTGGGGCGGGGCTAAAGCTTCAGGCCCCGCCCCTTCTGTAGGTCACACACGTTTCAAAGACAAACCAGAACCGGGTCGGCCGTCCGGCTGCTGGCCCGGCTACACGTTGGTTCTGGTTCTGCTGGGCTGCTGGTCCAACAGAACCTGCAGCATGAAAACAGAATCAGGTTTTGTCTCCAAATGTAAATGGGCGGGGCTTGTAAATGGGCGGGGCTTCAATGTTCTGATCATCTTCAGTGGCGCTGGGATCGATCTGAGTGACAGCAGCAGGTTCAGGCTGTATTTACACACAAGCATGGTGTGTGTGTGTGTTGTGTGTGTGTAGGTGTGTGTGTGTGTGTAGGTGTGTGTGTGTGTAGGTGTGTGTGTGTGTGGGTGTGTGTGTGTGTAGGTGTGTGTGTGTGTGTAGGTGTGTGTGTGTGTAGGTGTGTGTGTGTGTGGGTGTGTGTGTGTGTGTGTGTAGGTGTGTGTGTGTGTAGGTGTGTGTGTGTGTGTGTGTGTGTGTGTGTGTGTGTGTGTGTGTGTGTGTAATAATAGCCCTGATTGTCTCTATGACCCTCTGATGAATTTGGTTCCCAGCAGGTCATGTGACCTCGCTTTGGTCCTTCCTGTCTCCTTCATACATTAATAATTAAATCATCATCAGATTAATCAATAAATCAATACTTTCTACCAAAGTAAATGAAAGCAAATATTTTAAAACCTGAAACTTTGAACAGTCTGATTGATTGATTGATTGATTGATTGATTGATTGATTGATTGATTGATTGATTGATTGATTGATTGAAGGTCACCTGACTGTCTGGATCTGGTACATCAGTGGCCACCAGGGGGCAGCAGTCATCAGGCAGCTCACAAAGCATCTGAAAGAATCACTAGACAATCAATCAATCAATTAATCAATCAATCTAACCAAGGGAAATAGAAAATATTCATTTGGAGAAAATGAAATATGACGATGAAACAAATTTGTTGATGACGATGATGATGGTGATGAAGGCAAAGCCTGGAAGTCATGAGACCGACTGATGTCAGTCTGCATAGATCTATGTCTCTAAACATAGATCTGGAGCATAGATAGATCAATGTTTCTATCTAGAGATTATCTATAGAGATACAGAACTGCTGATGGGTCTGTGGAGCGCCGTCGCCCCCTGCTGCTGCTCAGGCAGATGGCGGCTTGAAAGCGCCGGCCTGGTTTTCAGACCTTAGGCTGCAGCATCCATCTTTTTACATAACGTGGACAGAACCGGTTCAGAACCGGTTCAGAACCGGCTCAGAACCGGTTCAGGCCACGTTGTCAGGAGCTACAGGCTTCCTGCTGATTGACTCCTTGGAGAGTTATTTCCACCCTGGTGAGGAAGAGGAGGAGAAGAGGTCTTCATCACGTCTCCTCCTGTGAAAAGGTCCAGTTCTCACAGTGCTGTCAGACTTCCTGTAAAGGTCACATGACTATCGCCTGATTGGCCGAAGCTGAAGCTGTTTGCCAGTTGCATCGTCTTCCTCCTCTTCCTCCATCAGTTCAGTTTTAACGATGCGGTCGTAGTTTGTCCTTTTTCTTTCCTTCTGTCTCCTCAGTTTGTTCTTTTTGTCCTCTAATAAATCTGAGCTACTTTGATTTATTATCCTGCTGTGTGTGTGTGTGTGTGTGTGTGTGTGTGTGTGTGTGTGTGTGTGTGTGTGTGTGTGTGTGTGTGTGTGTGTGTGTGTGCGCTACAGTCACCCTGTGAAGGACACACACAGTGACGTGTGTGAGGATCGGTGTGTTGGTAGCAAAGCTGCTGCCTTTGTGAGGACCAGTCAGCTGAAGACCTGGAGATCAAACCAACATAGAGGATGTCCACATGTCCTGGAGGTCCACATGTCCTGGAGGTCCACATGTCCTGGAGGTCCACATGTCCTGGAGGTCCACATGTCCTGGAGGTCCACATGTCCTACATGTCCACATGTCCTGGATGTGTGGAGGCTGCTGCGGCCAAAGATGACCTCTGAACTGTCTCCAGTGGACAGGACCTGTGGACGTCTCCAGTGGAGACGGTGAAGGAGGGATGAGGGTGGAGGAGAGGTGAAGCCTGTCAACAGGATTAAAAGATTACAGGCCACTCCTGGTAATCTCTGCTCCACATGCTGACTCGCTCAGAAAACCAACCGCTGCTTGTCCCGACCAAAAGTCTGACCATGGCGACCCGGTACTTCTGCACAAAGGTTCAGGACACCATAGCGAGACCGTTACAGGTTGTTTTTACCACCTTGAACTCGGCATCGCTCTGGAAACCTCTGGACCAGAAACAACATCCACAGGGAACCGTTTAGGCCGAGAGGTCGACTCGGCGCCATCTTGTGGATGAAATGCAGTCAAATTTTGAATGATATCTGACGGAAGAGATTAGAAATTATAGAAATGTATTTGATGCATCAGTCAGACTATATGAAAATATTTGGGAGGACATAGCTCAGTCCTCAGGGAAGGAGGACTGAGCCCAGTGGAATTATGGGATATGAAGGAATCTGTCATGTGAGATGTAGGAAATCTGACACGCGACTATGACATGTCATCTATCGGCTCAGTGCGCCTGAATCTCGCCGTCTGTTCGCCGGGAGTCCTAAAACCTCAGGAAGTTTGATTCCCTGCAGCCTTTGGTTCTTTTCTAATGGAAATCTGGAATACTGGCGTTCCAAATGATCAGACGCCTGGAAAACTCTGAAATGGACTGAAGTCATCAAACCCAGTTAGACCACAGACTGATGCTCAATCTAGTTCTGATTATGATCGAGAAACAGCAGAAATCGTTTGGTTCTGGTGGGTCTCCACGTGGAGGTCCGGTACGCTCACCGAGCGGGTTTGAAGTTACCAGATCAATAGTTCCATGCTGACCGGAGAGAACGGGTAAGAACAACTCCTGACTCTGTGGAGGTGAAGCAACAGAAACCTGCTGCTCGGTTCTAACAAGCCGGTCCAGAACAAGAACCTTTGGGATGAACCAGACGGTTCAGACGATTTGCAGAGTAGAAACTTCCATCAGCCGAGTCTCTGAAAGGGGAAGGTTACAGTTTAGTCCTCAGATATCTGTGAATGGACCACTGCGATCAGGGTACGGTACAGTTGTACATGTGACTCATGCATGTGTGGGATTTTATTTATAGCCTCTGATGTAAGGAGACATCCTGACTGATCCTGAGTCAGCCGGCAAAACAGAGCGAGGAGAGCTAACCACAGCCTGACCATATCCAATATACGTAGGTATTTAGTATGTAAATAACCTACGTAAGTTTTAATGTGTTGAATAAACCTACGCATATTCAACACAAAGCATGCTTGCTTTGTGTTGAATATGCATCAACAGGCACCAGGGCTGTTTGTTGACTGACTAAAGGTTTCAGGGGAATTTGTTCCAGTGAATTATGGGAAGAGTTAACTGAAGAGGTAAATGTAACTTCAGACATCAAATTTGATGCATTACCAGTTTTCCATCCTTTTTTCATCAACTGTTGAAGGGAGTCATCAGGAAGAAGTTCCACCGCACACCTCACTACCGTCTGACTGTCCATTACCGCCACCATCCTCACATCTCTACTCGTGTCTACAGTTTCTACCCAATTATACAGCGGGCAGCATTTACACTCATCAGAACCAGAACCAGTCGCGTTATCTGTTCTGTTCATAACCAAAACAAAAACACAAACTCAGGTTGGAAAATATTTTCCAGAAACAATTATTTTGACTCTATATGGTAATGAATCTGCACTCTGGTATGAAGGTCTTTGTCGATTGAGAAAATGAATTTTAAAAGTTGAGTGACAATGCTGCCAGAAGCAGGACTGAATGCTCACAGCATTCAGTCATTAATTATAAATATGCCCGGATGGAGCTGCGGGGTTTGCGTCGCTCCTGACCCGGCTCGGTTTGACCTAACGGAACCAGAAGTTCGGTTGGGTCGGTTGGGTCGGTTGGGTCGGGTTGGGTTGGGTTGGGTTGGGTTGGGTTGGGTTGGGTTGGGTCCTCCCCGTCCCGCCGCAGGCCGCCGTCTCCCATGCGATTCTTCAGACTCACATTCAAGTGCTTCGTAGATTGTTTTTGAAGGTCATGGTTCGGTTTGTTGTTCTCTTTAGTTCAACATTTTATTTTTTTTTTGACAGAAAAAAATAATTAATAATTAAATAATTAATGCCTGAATGCCCACAGGCCAGGAGGGGAACCGGCTGGTTTGACTAAGAACCACAGCAGCTGGAGGTGGAGCAGATGTTCTGGTTCCAGTAGAACCGGGTCGACCGTCAGGAGGGAAACAGCCTGAGTCTTCAGCTGTTCATGGGGAAAACATGTCTGAAACTTTTGGACGTCCATGTTGCTGAGGAGGAACCAGAACCTCTGATAATGAGGATGGTGGTGCTGATGAAGGTCAGGAATGTTGGACCCCATGACAAAAGATGAAATTGGCCCCCCTCGCAGCTGCTCTTGTACTTCTTGAGTCACAATTTTAAAGCCTTGCTTCCTTTGGTCCAATACTGATACTAGACAATATTTCCTGCTCATGAATTTCACATCCAACCGTCTGCATCAGTGTGCAACCAGGTTGCTTCAATGTTTTCTATCAGTTTTCGATACTGAAACGTCTCCCCACCAGCAACAGTCATAGGCAACATGCAAAATACACATGAAGCAACACAGACTTCTCAAAAAATGCTGTATAGTTGCATTTTATTCAAGCTGCAATAAGTCACTTTAATAAAAAATGTTTTCTCCATATTTGTTAAAGCTGGCACCATGCTGTGACAGTTTGTTACGAGAAGATAATCTGTGAAAACAATCAATCTCCTCCATCTGAATTACTATAACGTTCCAATGAGAACCAGGAGGAGGGTCTTAGCGCTGTCAATCAAGCTCATTCACTAACTGCTGAATGTGCTGAAGGAGGAGAAACAACTTCCATGCTGCAGCTTTAACTCCCCTCAGCAGAGGAAGGACGGGTCAGGAGGGACTAGAGCTGCTGCTGACCGACTCGCCTGTTAAGTGGGAAAAGGTCCAGTGAAATATGTCAATATGTTGGTGATGTTTTCCCTTAATTCATTAAATGTTAGTGTAAAGGAGGCTAAGCTAGCTATGCTAAATGCTAGCTTAGCCTCTCGGAGAAAAACTGGCTTATAAATTGATACGTTTAGCTTTTTCTCTTTTTGATGTTTTAACACCTACTTTATCATTTTTCTTAGCAGCGCAGTAACAGCCTCAGTGGTTCTTGTTTCCACTGACTGCTGCTGAACACCTGCAGCTCCAAGCAGGAAGGAACCGATTCCTGCAGATCCAGGGGCTTCAGGGCAAATATGTGTTTTTGGTCTGGGAAGGGGAACATTTCATTTTTACTGCTGAAACCAATCTTCCAAAACACAAAATGATTCTTTTGGAATTGGCAGGGCCCAATGTTTTCATTCCTATGAACAAAAACTAAATAAATAAATAGTGGAGCGCCCCCTGTTGGTCAGGGGCCCTTGCTATTGCCCCAGTGTTTCCCCTAGTTGCCCCCCTGCTCAGCCTGTCAGTATTTAGCCCACTGACTGATCCAGATTAGGCAGATTAGCTCTCTAACTGCAGCCGCGGGTCTGTTTCTGGTTTTAGATGCGACTCCAACACGTGGCGGTTAAGTGAGGTGAAGCTTCACCCTTAATGGATCCGGTTATTGGACCGGAACCGGGTTGACCAGCAATAACCAGAAGTGATGACTTCCATCAGATTTGATTTATTGTCATTGTACAGTAAAACAAAATTAGTAGTACAGCTTTTCTTATGGCTTTTAGAAACAAACAGTGAAGATATATATAAGAAAAATGTCTGGTGGCTCGAGGACCCCCCGCGGTGACGGGACCGAGCCCCGGGACCCCCCGCGGTGACGGGACCGAGCCCCGGGACCCCCCGCGGTGACGGGACCGAGAATGATTTGAACTGAATCTGTTCAGTTGAAGTGAATGGAAGCCTCTCTGCCGCCTCCTGGATCTCCTGCTGCTGTTGGACCTGGGTTGTTGTACCTTTAAAGGTTCTGCACAACTTGGTCAGAACCAGAACCGGGCTGAAAATGAGTGCCAGAGCAGATGGTCCGGAACAGAACCCTGCAGCCTCAAACGGACCACAACATTCTCCAGAAGACTCAAACCAGTTCACTCAGCATTGACTCATTCATTTTGAGTTGGCAGCTCCTCAGTGTGGCTGCTGTTTCTGACTGTCCCTGAATGCATCGTGTTTCCTCAGGCGTCTTCCTGATCCCGTACCTGCTGATCGTTTTCGTGGGAGGAATCCCAATTTTCTTCCTGGAGATCGCCCTGGGTCAGTTCATGAAGGCCGGGAGCATCAACGTGTGGAACATCGCTCCACTGTTCAAAGGTGGGTCCGGTTAGCGGGTTAGCGGAACCCGGGGTCTGGTTAGCGGGTTAGCGGAACCCGGGGTCTGGTTAGCGGGTTAGCGGAACCCGGGGTCTGGTTAGCGGGTTAGCGGAACCCGGGGTCTGGTTAGCGGGTTAGCGGAACCTTGGCTGATTTGCTGCTCAACGTGTTAAACTTCTCTTGGACTTCTGGCTGCTTGATGCGATGGACCATCTGGTTCTCTGGTTCAGATTCTTTCTGTCAGAAAGAAAATTATTGAAAAATAGTTGAATCTACAGAACAGCTTGTTAATCAACTGTTTGAAGCAACATTTAGGTGGTTAAATTGAACTCAGTGAATTTGGTCTTTATGAGAATAATGAACTCGTTTTGATACGCAGCCTGATTTCTCTTTTGCTGAAATAATTCTGGAAAAGTTGATCAACTTTGAGGGAGAAAGTTAAATTCCAAATATGGTTTCATACTGATTGTTCATTTATGTATACTCATGATTTCATCCATGTAATATTTACCTGCCGATGTTAGAAGAGTCCACAGATGAATAAATATAAACTGTTCAGCTTGACTGGGCATAAACCGAACATAGAACTAATTCTTCTAAAATGAAAGAATAATTCTTCTGGGCTTAACAAAAACTTAATAGAATAAAAACATAAAAACAAAAACATTTTTGTCCTTTTTCAACCTTTAACTGGAATAAAACTCTTGGAAAACAAACATTATTTTTACAAGAATGTTAACATAATTATAGATGTAAACAGTTGCAAAACACAATATGAATATCAATAACATTGTCACAATGTGTCTCAGATTAAGTTCAGGCAAAAAATCTGAGAATGCTGGTTTGATAACCTGAAAGAATCCGCTTGGTCGGCAGTTTGAAGGTTCATAGGTCACGGATCCGTTTCTTCACTCAGACCTTCAAACTTCAGAACCATGAATCCTCTTTCATGGCGCCGCGTCACACATTTTCACAGGAACGGCGCAGATAACAGTTGACTGCATCTGACCAGCGTGCAACGCAGCGAGAACGCAGTGACAGAGCAGAGGAAAACTCCTGGCTGTGCTGAGCTGCAGGTGTCCATGTCTGTCCATGCGCTGGACGAGGGGACATGTCCTGGTGTCCTCCGCCTGTCGCCCAATAACTGCTGCAGCCCCCAAAGATGGCCGCTGGATGGGAACAATGACTTTTGTTACATAAATTTAAAATGACCTACAATAGAAAACATGTTCATACTACGTAAAAGAATATATTTGTAATTCAAACTAAAAACATATATATTTAAAATAAACATTTTAACTTTTTTTTCTTGAAAATATCCAAGTTAAATTTCAATTTAAGTCTAAGTTAGGAGAACTTATGTCTTTGTTTCCTAATAAATAATAATTAAAATAAATAATGACAAAATGTTGAACACTTTAAACATTTTTAAAGTCTAAAAATAAATTGAAAACAATGAAATAGTTTTTTGTAGATTCAAATGTTGGGTTTGAGTTTTCTTAATAGAACTGACAAATTTTCAATGGAAATAATTTGTAATTTTTCCTTCTTTTGTCCAGAAGAAAAAAAAACAAAATAAAAGAAGTAAATCTGGAAGAGGAGAATTTATTTCTTCATAATCAACTGAAGAAAGTTGGAAATCCACAGAAGCTTCGAGGAAGTGACATAAATGTTCATAACTCAGAAGTTTGTTGCATAAAAAACCGCTGCCTGTTTATTACTGTAACCATGACAACAAGGTATTTACAACGTGCAAAGTTAATATGTGAAGTTAGTTTCCTTTGATGAGGTCAAACATTAACTGGTCTCCAATAAAACATTGATAATATTTCCAGCAGAACCAGCTGCAGACTTTAGCCTCCATTATTTGTTCAATCATAAGGAGAAAATTCTGGAAAAGTTTCCAGATTCCAGTAAATCACCTGGAAATAATAATATATATATATATATATATATATATATATGTTTATCACCTGGAAGTGATTTACAGATTCCACACATTCATGATTTAGGGTCAGAAAGCAAGTCGGTGTCGACAGACATTCTGTCAAAAATGGCAAAGTTTTCTTTCCTATTTTTCCAACTTGAAGGTTTTGCCTGTCGCTGAATTTGCTGTGGTTATAAATATGGTGGTCACAACAGATTCATTATATATTCACTTGTTTACATCTGTCAGGTTTGGGTTTTCGGGATTTTTGGGGTTGTTTGTCTTTTAGTGTGGGGAAGCTGAAACTGCTGGATAGTAATTTTGGAACTTTTTCTATACAACGCCTCGTCAGTATTGCCCTGTGTATTGATCATTATGTGTCCAAAGTGTGTGTATATGTAAGTATGTATGTTCATATATATATATATGTACATATGCATCCATATGTCTGTATGTATTTTTTCCTTCTTTTGGCTCAAATAAAAACTCAACAAAAACAAATGTCAGTGCAGGAGTGACATTTAAAGAGGATTATGTTTAAAAGTTATGGTCAGGTTTGGATCATTTCCTGTTCTGTGCAGGTCTGGGTTACGCCTCCATGGTCATCGTGTTTTTCTGCAACACTTACTACATCATGGTTCTGGCCTGGGGCTTCTACTACCTGATCAAGTCCTTTAGCTCCGCCCTCCCCTGGTCCACCTGTGACAACGAATGGAACACGCCCAACTGCCTGGAGACCTTCCACCACCTGCACTGCAGCAACGCCAGCCTGGCCAACGCCACCGTGGGCGGAGCCAACCTGACCTGCGCCGACCTGGCCGACGCCCGCTCGCCCATCATCGAGTTCTGGGAGTGAGTATCGGTTCCGGGTCGGGTCGGGTCAGGTCGGGTCACGGTGGTCTTTCTGACCCGGTCTGTGCCTGCGCAGGAACAAAGTGCTGAACATCTCGTCTGGACTGGACCAACCGGGTCGGATCAACTGGGAGCTGATGCTGTGTCTGATGGCCGTCTGGGTTCTGGTTTACTTCTGCGTCTGGAAAGGAGTCAAGTCCACCGGAAGGTACCGCTCCCAAGACTGGGACCAGACTGGGACCGGACTGGAACTAGTGTTGGGACCAGTGTGTTATGGACCATTGGGACCAGTGTGTTATGGACCATTGGGACCAGTGTGTTATGGACATTTGGGACCAGTGTGTTATAGACCATTAGGACCAGTGTGTTATGGACCTTTGGGACCAGTGTGTTATGGACCATTGGGACCAGTGTGTTATGGACATTTGGGACCAGTGTGTTATGGACCTTTGGGACCAGTGTGTTATGGACCATTGGGACCAGTGTGTTATGGACCATTGGGACCAGTATGTTATGGACCATTGGGACCAGTGTGTTATAGACCATTGGGACCAGTGTGTTATGGACCATTGGGACCAGTGTGTTATGGACCATTGGGACCAGTGTGTTATGGACCTTTGGGACCAGTATGGTGACCATTGGGACCAGTATGTTAGACCATTGGGACCAGTGTGTTATGGACCATTGGGACCAGTGTGTTATAGACCATTGGGACCAGTGTGTTATGGACCATTAGGACCAGTGTGTTATGGACCATTGGGACCAGTGTGTTATGGACCATTGGACCAGTGTTATGGACCAGTGTGTTATGGACCATTGGGACCAGTGTGTTATGGACCAGTTGGACCAGTGTGTTATGGACCATTAGGACCAGTGGTTATAGACCATTAGGACCAGTGTGTTATGGACAATTGGGACCAGTGTGTTATGGACCATTAGGACCAGTGTTATGGACAATTGGGACCAGTGTGTTATGGACCATTGGGACCAGTATGTTATAGACCATTGGGACCAGTGTGTTATAGACCATTGGGACCAGTGTGTTATGGACCATTGGGCCAGTGTATAGACCATTGGGACCAGTGTGTTATGGACCATTGGGACCAGTATGTTATAGAACATTGGGACCAGTGTGTTTGAACCATTGGGCCAGTGTGTTATGGACCATTGGGACCAGTGTGTTATGGACCATTGGGACCCAGTGTGTTATGGACCATTAGGACCAGTGTGTTATGGACCATGGGACCAGTGTGTTATGGACCATTGGGACCAGTGTGTTATGGACCATTGGGTCCAGTGTTATGGACCATTGGGACCAGTGTGTTATGGACCATTGGGACCAGTGTGTATGGACCATTAGGACCAGTGTGTTATGGACCATTGGGACCAGTGTGTTATGGACCATTGGGACCAGTGTGTTATGGACCATTAGGACCAGTGTGTTATGGACCATTGGGACCAGTGTGTTATGGACCATTGGGACCAGTGTGTTATGGACCATTGGGTCCAGTGTGTTATGGACCATTGGGACCAGTGTTATGGACCATTGGGACCAGTGTGTTATGGACCATTGGGACCAGTGTGTTATGGACCATTAGGACAAGTGTGTATGGACCATTAGGACCAGTGTGTTATGGCCCAGTGTGTTATGGACCATTAGGACCAGTGTGTTATGGACCATTATGACCAGTGTGTTATGGACATTGGGTCCAGTGTGTTATGGACCATTGGGACCAGTGTGTTATGGACCTTTAGGACCAGTGTGTTATGGACAATTGGGACCAGTGTGTTATAGACCATTGGGACCAGTGTGTTATGGACCATTGGGCCAGTGTGTTATGGACCATTGGGACCAGTGTGTTATGGACCATTGGGACCAGTGTGTTATGGACCATTGGGACCAGTGTGTTATGGTCTATTAGGACCAGTGTGTTATGGACAATTGGGGCCAGTGTGTTATAGAACATTGGGACCAGTGTGTTATAGACCATTGGGACCAGTGTGTTATGGACCATTAGGACCAGTGTGTTATGGACAATTGGGACCAGTGTGTTATGGACCATTGGGACCAGTATGTTATAGACCATTGGGACCAGTGTGTTATAGACCATTGGGACCAGTGTGTTATGGACCGTTAGGACCAGTGTGTTATGGACCATTGGGACCAGTGTTATGGACCTTTGGACCAGTGTGTTATGGACCATTAGGACCAGTGTGTTATGGACCATTGGGACCAGTGTGTTATGGACCATTGGGTCCAGTGTGTTATGGACCATTGGGACCAGTGTGTTATGGACCATTAGGACCAGTGTGTTATGGACCATTAGGACCAGTGTGTTATGGACCATTAGGACCAGTGTGTTATGGACCATTAGGACCAGTGTGTTATGGACCATTGGGACCAGTGTGTTATGGACCATTGGGCCAGTGTGTTATGGACCATTGGGACCAGTGTGTTATAGACCATTGGGACCAGTATGTTATGGACCATTAGGACCAGTGTGTTATGGACCATTGAGACCATTGTGTTATGGACCATTAGGACCAGTGTGTTATGGACCATTGGGACCAGTGTGTTATAGACCATTGCAGTGTGTTATGGACCATTGGGCCAGTGTGTTATGGACCATTGGGACCAGTATGTTATGGACCATTAGGACCAGTGTGTTATGGACCATTGAGACCAGTGTGTTATGGACCATTAGGACCAGTGTGTTATGGACCATTGGGACCAGTGTGTTATAGACCATTGGGACCAGTGTGTTATGGACCATTGGGACCAGTGTGTTATGGACCATTGGGACCAGTGTGTTATGGACCATTGGGACCAGTGTGTTATGGACCATTGGGCCAGTGTGTTATGGACCATTGGGACCAGTGTGTTATGGACCATTGGGACCAGTGTGTTATGGACCATTGGGTCCAGTGTGTTATGGACCATTGGGTCCAGTGTGTTATGGACCATTGGGTCCAGTGTGTTATGGACCATTGGGACCAGTGTGTTATGGACCATTAGGACAAGTGTGTTATGGACCATTGGGCCAGTGTGTTATGGACCATTGGGACCAGTGTGTTATGGACCATTGGGACCAGTGTGTTATGGACCATTGGGTCCAGTGTGTTATGGACCATTGGGTCCAGTGTGTTATGGACCATTGGGTCCAGTGTGTTATGGACCATTGGGACCAGTGTGTTATGGACCATTAGGACAAGTGTGTTATGGACCATTAGGACCAGTGTGTTATGGACCATTGGGACCAGTGTGTTATGGACCATTGGGACCAGTGTGTTATGGACCATTGGGACCAGTGTGTTATGGACCATTAGGACCAGTGTGTTATGGACCATTGGGACCAGTGTGTTATGGACCATTGGGACCAGTGTGTTATGGACCATTGGGACCAGTGTGTTATGGACCATTGGGACCAGTGTGTTATAGACCATTGGGACCAGTATGTTATGGACCATTAGGACCAGTGTGTTATGGACCATTGGGACCAGTGTGTTATGGATCATTGGGACCAGTGTGTTATGGACCATTGGGACCAGTGTGTGGTCAGGTGGGGTTTCCTGCAGGTGTTTATGATGTGATAAATATAAAACATTTAAATATTGAATGTGCTCCGATTATCACCTAAATTTTTGATTTTGATGAATATTCAGAAAGTTTTCAGTTTTTCTCTCCTGCTGGATTTTGTCCAACATGTGAAACAGAAACATGTGAGTCGGAGTCAGAGGGAAAAATGCCGCACCGCCCCTTTAAATCCTCAGCTGACACCTCTGATTCACCCTGGACGTGTCACCAGGCTGCAGTCACATGACCGGTTGAGAGTTGCTATGACGACCTTGGGGGGGGCGTTGAGGCTGTGATGTGTCGGGACACGATTGGCCGGCTGAGAGGAGGGCAGCTTGTCTGCAGTGAGACGTGACTGAGAGGCCGGCTGCATGTTGAGCTGCGATGCTGCGCCTGCAGCCATTAGATGCTGGGAAAATACCAAACGCAGAAACATCCCGATGTTGAAGGAGACAAGTGCTGCCGGATTCAGAACCAGCACCTGAAGAACCTTCAGAAGGTTCTGGTCCAGAAGCAGGAAGTGTTAGAAAGCAGGCAGAGCTCCATCTTCACCACTTGGCTCTCCAAAACTGTGATCTGGACATTAGTGCAGGATTAGTGAGTCAGAGCATCAGGAACCTCCCGGCTTCATTCTGGATGAGTAGTTGATTGGTTTTCATCCAAATCCCACATCATGATACTGCCTCCTCCATGTTTGTGAAGTAGTCTCTTGTTCTTGAAGTCACCCTTCCTAATAAACGGTTGTTACGTCCAAACATCTCAACGTTCAACTCGTCTGACATCAAACTTTTCTCCAAGAACGTTCTTGGACGTTTCTGCTACTTTGATAAGGAAGATGTTTTGCTGAACCGTGTCTCAAGGAGTTTATTCAATATTATTTCAATCAGTAAAAGATGAGTGTCTTTAGCAGCACACCATGATGCCCGATGGAGGGTTATTGGTTTAGTTATGTCTGTCTTCGTCTGATGATGTTTTGTCAGATCCGCTCACACGACTCTCAGTCCCAACACAAACAGCTGCTGCTGTTGTTCATCAGCAGGAGGCTGAAAGAAGAGCCCAGCAGAGAGAGAGAGAGAATCCTCCAGGCCCAGTTCCCACTCCTCTAGTGTCTCAAATATTCAGCATTCACAAATTGTCCTCAAAATGTAAACATATTAACCAAAAAATAAATAAATCAACCAAGTGAAAGGAAAAATGAGATTAGTGACACAAGGGGGTTTATCACAGCAGGACTCAGTGCCTGGTGGGTTGGAGCAGCTCGATGGTCTTGATGGTAAAACCAGTAAGAAAGAGGAGGCTACTGGTCTGAATGGGTCTGAATGGGTCTGAACCGTCCCATTCAGACCAGTCAGACCGTCTGCCAGTTAGAGCAACTGGCAGACTGGTGAAGGGTGCTGATGTTGAAGAGGAACCAGCTTCGACTCTCCATGGACGGCATCAAGCTTTATGCCAAGATTGAGCTCTCTGATCCAACGAGCAACAAAATGCCCCTCAGACTGGGTCAGTGTGGCACCGGGCAGCAGATTGATCTTCACCTGAGACTTTTGCTCGAGGAAGGCCTGGTGCGCATTTGAACCAGCATTCAGCACATGTTTGGGCATGAGGAAACTTCAACAAGTCCAAAGATATTTGACATGATTCCCAGTGTAATACGCACATTAAAACCAACTTACACAATTCTAAACTTGAACAGCATAAAGCTACGTCAACGCAACGCCTCTGCGTCAGTTCAGACTCATCAACATTTCTTCATACTTCAGGAAAACAATATGTTCTGGAAGAACGACTCTGATTGAGCAACAAGCGATGAGTCAGTTCAACACTCAGTCCTTCCGATGTGTCAAGAGAGACAAAGATGATTCTGTTTCTGTGACTGGAAAATCTGTGAAGGACCAGATTTCTGATGGATGGATGGATGGATGGATGGATGGATGGATGGATGGATGGATGGATGGATGGATGGATGGATGGATGTTGGATGGATGGATGGATGGATGGATGGATGGATGGATGGATGGATGGATGGATGTTGGATGGATGGATGGATGGATGGATGGATGGATGGATGTTGGATGGATGATAGATGGATGGATGTTGGATGGATGATGGATGATGGATGGATGATGGATGGATGGATGGATGGATGTTGGATGGATGGATGGATGGATGGATGGATGTTGGATGGATGGATGGATGGATGGATGGATGGATGGATGGATGGATGGATGGATGTTGGATGGATGGATGGATGGATGGATGTTGGATGGATGGATGGATGGATGGATGGATGGATGGATGTTGGATGGATGGATGGATGGATGGATGGATGGATGTTGGATGGATGGATGGATGTTGGATGGATGGATGGATGTTGGATGGATGGATGGATGGATGGATGGATGTTGGATGGATGGATAGATGGATGGATGGATGGATGGATGTTGGATGGATGAATGGATGGTTGGATGGATGGATGGATGGATGGATGATGGATGGATGGATGGATGGATGGATGGATGGATGGATGGATGGTTGGATGGATGGATGGATGGATGGATGGTTGGATGGATGGATGGATGGATGGTTGTTCTGAATGCTAAAGTTGAACCCTCCTAAAAATTACACTGTAAAATGTTGTTGTTTGAACGAATTTAGCAAAAACGTGTTGATAGGTTTTTCTGGTAACGTTTGTAACGTCCGGTGGAATATCTCTGGAAGGTCGCAGGCCGGTTACGTGATCGGTTGAGCAGCAGAACCGATCCAAACAGACAGTTTTAATGTCTTTAACGGTTGCTGGTGAGTTCTGGGTTCATGTTCTGCAGGTTCCAACCCTCACTCCGATTCTGCCGGTTCTGTTTCAGATTGTTTACTTCACGGCGACCTTTCCGTACGTGGTTCTCATCATCCTGCTGGTGCGAGGCGTCACGCTGCCGGGAGCGTACAACGGCATCATGTACTACATCAAACCGGACTGGTCCAAACTGCAGGAGGCTCAGGTCGGTCCAGCCTGTGGGTGACTTTGCCCTGAGCACTGCCTGTCAGGAACAATGCATCTAAACTCATATTTTCTTCTTCAATCATTAGAGAAAAGTTTGGGATTTAGGAAAAGCAGATTTTTATGGAAATGAAAGACTCTTGTGCTGTTCTGAAATTTCCTGCTGGAGGTTTCTTCCTGTTAAAGGGGAGTTCTTCCTCTCCACGCTCGCCTCATGCATGCTCAGTTGAGGGATTGCTGTAAAGTTAATGACACAACACAAGCGCCCCTGCTGGTCCAGGGAGCGAATGACTCGATGCTCTGCTGGGTTTCCTCGGAAACGTTTCAATACTTTGGGACGAAGGAGCAGTTGGACTCTTTTTTGTGCCTTGACACAACTATTGTTGTGTATTGGATTATGAACTAAAAGATCTCTCACCTATGACCTTTGACCCCACAGGTGTGGATAGACGCCGGCACGCAGATCTTCTTCTCCTACGCCATTGGACTGGGAGCGCTGACCGCACTGGGAAGCTACAACCGCTTCAACAACGACTGCTACAAGTACCAGAACCGCAGAACCAGACAGAACCTCAGAACCAGACAGAACCTCAGAACCTTCATGGAGTACCGGGTTCGGTTCAGCTGGTGTTGATGGAACCGAGGTGCTCCAGAGGTTCTGATCTTCTTCTTCTTCTTCTGCTCCTCAGGGACGCCTTCGTCCTGGCGCTCATCAACAGCGGCACCAGCTTCTTTTCTGGCTTTGTGGTTTTTTCCATCCTGGGCTTCATGGCAGCTGAGCAGGGAGTCGACGTCTCCCAGGTGGCTGAATCAGGTAAAACCCGCCCAGAGCGCCGCTCGGCCTCGGTACCAGGTTCTGGTTCTGTCCGGTTCTGTCTCTGCAGGGCAACCAGCTACTTCCTGATAGCAGGAGGGTATCCATCCTGAACTAGCGATGGGCCTTTCTGAGCAACCAGTGAAATGAAAACTACCAGCTAGCGTTAGCTTTGAATAAGCTGGTAATTCCATTGTGAAGGCTAACGGCTAGCGCGTCTCGGCTAGCTTGTTTTTTCTTCTTGAACAGAAACTGTATCTGGTAAAATGGGTCACGTGGCTGGAAGACGTTAGATAGTTTGACGTTTTCTGACAGTAATCCAGCGAGAGCTAACTTCAGCACCAGATGAAGCTGAAGTTAGCTTCAGATTGATCATCCATCCATTTTCTGATCACCCTTCTCCCTAACGGAGTCGGGAGGAGCTGCTGCCTCTCCAGCTGTGTTCCAGGCGAGAGGCGGGGTCACCTGGACGGGTCACCTGGACGGGTCACCTGTCTGTCGCAGGGCAACATAGAGACAAACAGGACAAACAACCGTGCACGCACACACACCTAGGGAGAATTTGGAGAGACCAATTAACCTGACTGTCATGTTTGTGGACGGTGGGAGGAAGTCAGAGAACCCAGAGAGAACCCAGCATGCACAGGGAGAACATGCAGACTCCGTGCAGAAAGACCCCGGGCCGGGAATTGAACCCAGGACCTTTTTGCTGCAAGGCAACAGTGCTACCCACTGCGCCACTGTGCTGCCCTCAGATTGATCAAATTCCACCAAACATTGTGATGTTTAGCATCTTTAATTAGCTCTAACTTAAAAATTCAAACATGGGCTAGATTATTCTATATTGAAAGCAAAAAATTGAAATTGAAATTTTGTGTTGATTTCAATATTCAGTAAAGAACCATATTAGATGTCACAAATCACAAGCTTTACTGGGTTCAGCATACTTTTAATAGCTATAAAGGTTTCAAATATTGTGCATTTATTCTGCGTCCTGTCGCTGTTTCAGGTCCGGGTCTCGCCTTCATCGCGTATCCAAAGGCGGTCAGTCTGATGCCGGTGGCACCGCTCTGGGCGGCGCTCTTCTTCTTCATGTTGCTGCTCCTTGGACTCGACAGTCAGGTGACCAAGAACATCTACAAACTTGTCTGTGAAGTTTGATTCATTCTGCAGTGGTTAGTCATTTCACCATGACGTAAATTTAGTTTGAATCCAGTTTTATTCCATCAATCTGGCAGGAAGTGAAGATAAAACGACCTCTGGACCGGACCGAACTGGACTGGACTGGACTGGACTGGACTGGACTGAACCGGACTGGACTGGACTGGACTGGACTGGACTGAACCGGACTGGACTGGACCAGACCGGACTGGACCGGACCGGACTGGACTGAATCAGATTGGACCGGACTGGATTGGACCGGACCGGACTGGACCAAACTGGACTGGACCGGACCAGATTGGACTGGACCGGACCGGACTGGACTGAATCAGATTGGACCGGACCGGACTGGACTGGACCGGACCGGACTGGACTGAATGCCCCGCTTCATAACCACAGAAAACGAAACAATAAACTGACAATATGGTGACCATAATTATAATAATTTAATTTGGGATAATTACTAATTGTGAAAAGAGGCTAACTGTTTTTAATCAGCTAGCCTTTTCTTTTCTAGATGTATTTTCAGATTTAAGTTTTTTTACATTTTATTTATTTAAGATAAGATTTGCTTTGTACTAAACTCACAAAAATCATCCAAAACGTGTAAAAACCTGATAAGAAAAGATGTCAGTTTAAAGATTTTTCAAGATGATAAATTATTTCTTTAAAACTGCAGAAAAAATATTTCAAAATGGTTACAGAAACTTTTTCCTGTTGAATGAAAGAAGGAATCCGTGGCGTCCAGGAGTCAGACGTTCTGTTGTGGCGCGTTTGGATCCTCGTGATGAAGATGAAGACGATGCCTGTGATGCCTTCAGGGAGGCTCAGACCTTCCAGCTCTGATGTTGTTTCCTGTTCCTGCAGTTTGTCGGGGTGGAGGGATTCGTCACTGGGATTCTGGACCTGTTTCCTGGGAAATATTACCACCGTTACAAACGTGAGATCGCCGTGGCGATATGCTGTCTACTGTGCTTCATCATTGACCTCTCCATGGTGACGCAGGTCAGCAGAGAAACTTTCACCTGCTCAGTTTTAGCTGCAGCAGTTCGAAGGCTGAGGAAGGAGGGTGTTAATATTTGGAGATGTTTCTGCAGGGAGGGATGTACGTCTTCCAGCTGTTTGATTATTACTCAGCCAGCGGCATGACGCTGCTGTGGCAATCCTTCTGGGAGTGTATTGTAGTGGCCTGGGTCTACGGTATGTAACACACACACACACACACACACACACACACTCTCACACACACACACACACACACACACACACACTCTCACACACACACACACACACACACACACACACACACACACACACACACACACACACACACACACACGCGCACACACACACACACACACACACACACACACACACACACACACACACACACACACACGCGCACACACACACACACACACACACACACACACACACACACACACACACACACTGTGGTGTTACATTGCAGGGTGCAGCTGAGTGATCCTTAAATAGGACATGAGATCAGATTTTAACTCCAAATAAAGGTCAAAGTTCAGAACCTTCCGTTTAAATTTGGGAGATTTGGTTTTTTTTTTCTCTTTCTATCAAAAAAATCATCTAATAATTCTTATTTTTTCTGTAAATTAACGTTTGATAAATCAGACTGCTACTGAAAGTGTTATTCTCATTTTTACTTGAAACGGCTGCATGTGACCTGAAGCAGTTGATGGGGTCAGAGGTCAGGCGGGGCTCAGGTGGCTCTGGCTTATAGGATGTTCGACAGTCTTGGCGTCCCTCAGGGTCGGTCCTGGCTGATTACAATCGTTTTATGTTTTGGAGTTGATGACAGAACCACTGAGCTCAGTAAGGACCCAAAAGCGTTGGTGCTGAGGAGGTTCTGACCCGTCCACTCAGTGACATGGTGGCTGCAGAAATACAGCTCAGCCAGGTGTAATACTCTGTGATGGTGGCTAGGGGGCGCCTGTAGCTAGCCCAGGCTGAATCAGGGGTGTGTCCCAGCTGATGGTGTCTCTGCAGGTGCGGACCGGTTCATGGACGACGTGGCCCGTATGATCGGCTACCGGCCGTTCCCCTGGATGAAGTGGTGCTGGTCGTTCATCACGCCGTGCGTCTGCATGGTGAGACCCACAGCTTCCTGTCCGTCCCCAACTACGGCCCCAGTAACACGACTCCTCTGCCACATCAGGGCATCTTCCTGTTCCACCTGGTGAACTACAAGCCGCTGACGTACAACACGGTGTACGTGTACCCGTGGTGGGGCGAGGTGATCGGCTGGTGCCTGGCTCTGTCCTCCATGCTCTGCATCCCCGTCAGCCTCCTCTACAAGTTCTTCAGAGCCAAAGGAACCTTCAGAGAGGTCAGTCAGGATGGAGAAAAGCCAAGGCAACACAACAACTGTTCCAACACAGAATCTCAAACTTAGTGGTTTATTAAATGTACTTGAAAACACAAATGTCCATTTGTTGCAGCAAAACCTGTAACCCATAATTTTCAGTGACAACAGGGGGCGATAGTGTGCAAGTACGTCTTGAAGGTCAGCAAGAGGAAGAGTATTTACGTAAACTGTCTGAATAAATCTGTGACCAGTGTGATTTTAGCTCTTTGAGGGTCAAATATTATTGTAAATACTGTGGAAAGTAGTTCAGGGATCTCAAACTCCAGTCCTGCAACTTCTAGATGTGGCTCTGCTGCACCACCGCAATAGAATAATCAGGTCGTCATTAAGGCTCTGGAGAACAAGGAGGAGGTAATTAAGCCATTTCATTCCAGCGTTTTGTACATGTAAAAACTGCAGGACTTCGGGACCTTTAAACCTTTAAACTGGCCTGAGCAGTGAGGTCACAGATTATTCTGACTGTCATCATCTGTGACCAGCGTGATTGTAGCTATTTAATGGTTAAATATTATTTTAAGTGTGATATGAATATAATGAAGAGGTGGCAGAAACATTAAGAACCATGTTAAAATCAGAATAGAATCATTTCTTGATCGTTTATCGATTTATTAAACGGCTGCACTTGGTCTCCATTCGCTAATAAAGGAGCCGTGAAGTTTACAATCCCAGCTGAATCAGCATTTATGCAGCTTGAGGAAATCTTCTTCTCTCTGGTCTTAAGACCTACCTGCGCTCCTTCGCCCCCTGTGGTCACTGAAAATGGTGGCTCACAGGTTTTTTATGTAACGTTTTCAGGGTCCATAAAGTCAAAGCATGAACTGCTGGTTCTGATGAGAAGTCTTTCTAGACCTGAACGGCCCGACCACAAATCCATCTGGACAGATCTTGTTCCAGCCGACAACAACCTGAACAATACGACATCACAGCGGGGGGTGGGCGGGGCGGGGCGGGTTCCTCTGTCCGGTTCCAGCTGACGTAGATTCTGGTTCCGGTCCCATTGACCTTCTCACTAAGTGCAGAGCTGGAGCTCGACCCCCAGTCAGTAGGAAGTCTGCCGTTCTGGAACGGACGGGTTGGGTTCATTGTCCCAGGTGAATGCTGATTGGCTAAGAAGCCAGAGGTGCAGCCATGTTGGTGATCATGACTTCCCTGTGTTGCAGCGTTGGGCCCACCTGACCAGTCCCGTGTGGGGCCCCACCACCTGGAGTACATGGCCCCCGACATCAGGCCCCTGAGTTCGCTGACGCCCGGTTCTGATGACAACAAGGTCATCATCTTTGAGAGCGTCATGTAGACCGGACCCGTCCGTCCCTCCCAAGACAAGATGGCCGACCTCCACCCTCACCTCCCACCACTTTCTGCGCCAGGCATCATGAATGAGCTGGACTCTGATTGGTCCCCACAGCAACCAAAGCTTTTCCCAGGTTCCCCTGGGACTTCTGGTTCTGTTGGGTTCCGGTTCTCCTGATTTAGGATGAAAGGCGGATCATGACGATCCCAAACAACTTGTCTTCCCGTGAGGGCCGGTTTGGTCTTGGGTTGGATAGACGGTCAGCACAAACCTGAACCGGACAAACAGCCACGATGGACTCGCTGTCAGGCAGAACCTCCAGAACCTTCAGAACCTTCAGCCGACAGAGTTTGTATCATTGCTGTTTGTCAAGACAGACAGAGTTCTAGACAGAAGCACCGACTGGTTCCCTTCGCGTTCCCTTCAGGTTCCGGGATCAGATTTTGTCTGTTCTCATCTGAGTGCCAAAAGGTTCTGATGTCCGAACCGGGCTACTGCCAGTGACCCGGTTGCTCTGCCTCGTCAACGCTGCGGTCCAGTTGGTTCTGCCCATCTTTGTTGGGTTTCGTCCCGCTTCCTCTTTCCTTAGCAAAGGATTAAAATGCTTGACTGGTTCTGTCCACAAACCCATCAGAACTGGTAACCGGGTCGAGAGGAGAGTGGTTTTGATCCAAATGTTGTCCAGAAACCTGAAGAGAGCCGACGGACTGACAGCGTTGCTGAGCATTGCCTTATGTTGACCTGTGACCTCCTGTTCGCTGTTGGTGGGCGTGTCTAAGACTCTGTCTCCCAGCAACCAGTTAGCATCAAAATGTGGGAAAACCAGATCCGTTTGCACATTGTTGTGAAATCATGAAAAAAAAATCAGGTTTTGTTTCTGTAAAATAAACAGAAATGTATTTTTGGAGGCTTTTATTTTGGTGAAGAAATTTCTATATTGAATCTTTGAGCTATATTTGATGCAGTATTCACTGGGATGATGATGATGATGATGATGATGATGATGATGATGATGATGATGATGATGATTGTTCATGTTCAGTTGGCAAATCCACTGCTTCAGTCCTACCTCACTTCTCTTTCAGACCTTCAAAATAAAACACCTGAGTTGTTTTTAGCTGATGTTGGTGGCCCGTGGGAGTCAGAAGAATCAGAACCTGCTGCTGGTTCTGACTCTTGAGCGGGTCATCAATCCCAAACAGGAAACAGGAAACCCATTTGGTGCTGCGGCGGCTGACGTGAACAATCGGCAAAGGCCGGTGCTTTTATTGTGGCGGGTTTGCTGCGATGCAGTGATTTGTGAAAGGGAAACTTTATTTTCACGTTCAAAGTGCTAAAGTGTCTTGGCTTCAGGCGATCTGTTTTTCCTACGGCTCACGTTGTTTCATCTGCGTGGCGTCGGCTCCGATCTCAGCTGGACCCTGAAATGAATCTTCATCCTGGTGACCTGTTGACCTGTTGACCTGCTGACCTGTTGACCTGAACCCGAATGGCAGCAGGAAACGGGTCCTAAACATTCAGGATCAAACCGAGCAGATTTCAGCGACAGGCTGATTTAGGTTCAAAACTTTAGTGAATTAAAATGTTAATTTATCAAACAATTATAAAAGCTGATCAACTAAACAAGGAGACGTTTGGCTCCCAAACATACAAACTTTTTCCCTTCATCAGGATTTCATGATTATTTAAATCTGAGATCAATTTGACCAAATCAATTTCGTTGTTTGTCTTTTTCAGGTCAAAATGTTCTTCCAAGTTAAATTGTGCAGAAAATAATAAAAGGTGCTTTTTGTGGCCAGCCACGGTTTCCAGATGGAACAAACAAAAACCTGATGAATAATTTAGGATCAAAATCTGAGTTTGAACTTTGTTTGCTCTCATATCAAAGAGCAAATCATCTGCATAGAAACGTAGAAAATTGAGCTTAGAACTTACAATTTAATGTTGCGTCAACCTGCAGGGAAAACAGATGTACATCATCCAGATTAAACCTGGAGAAGTTAACAGAAAAAATAATAATGTAGGCAAAGATGCATCAGCTACTTGTAACACTGAAGAGAAATAAACAATGCTCAAGTTATTAATTAAATAAAAAAAAATCTAAATATCTGAGATCTTGGCTCAATGTGCACCAGATGAGAAGATCCTTCTTTCCATTATTTGGACTGATCTGCAGCTGAGCTTAAACTGATCACTTCATGTAAAACGTTGAATGTTTAAAGCTGAATATGTTGAATTTCTTCCATCTGGATTGGAGCCTGGAAAAGCATCTTAAATCTGCAGCCATGTTGTTTTTCATCTGCCAAAAACCTGCTGACCGAATCTGAACCTGGAGCCGGACCCGGAGCCGGACCTGGAGCCGGACCTGGAGCCGGACCCGGAGCCGGACCCGGAGCCGGACCTGGAGCCGGACCTGGAGCCGGATCTGGAGCCGGACCCAGACCCGGAGCCGGACCCGGAGCCGGACCCGGAGCCGGACCTGGAGCCGGACCTGGAGCCGGACCCGGACCCGGAGCCGGACCTGGACCCGGACCCGGAGCCGGACCCGGAGCCGGACCCGGAGCCGGACCTGGAGCCGGACCTGGAGCCGGACCCGGAGCCGGACCTGGAGCCGGACCTGGAGCCGGATCTGGAGCCGGACCCGGAGCCGGACCCGGAGCCGGACCCGGAGCCGGACCTGGAGCCGGACCCGGAGCCGGAGCCGGACCCGGAGCCGGACCTGGAGCCGGACCTGGACCCGGAGCCGGAGCCGGACCTGGAGCCGGAGCCGGACCTGGAGCCGGAGCCGGACCCGGAGCCGGACCCGGACCCGGACCCGGACCTGGACCCAGAGCTAGTGCGTTCACATTTACACTCCACATCTTAAACCGGACTCCTCTAAATGTCATATTTGGTTCTGTCAAAACAGATTTATTATCTGGTGTCAAAGATTCTGACCCGAATGAGACAAAAAAGAATTTGGTCCAAATTGGTTTTAAATAGCAGAGAGCCTAATGGCTCCGGTCGCTCTGGTCCGGTCCGGTCCGGTCCGGGTTTCATCTCAGATTCTGTCAGTAAACTTCAGTTTGCCAAGTTGTTGAGGAGAGCGTCGGGTTTCCAGAACCTTCCCTGCTGATCTCTGAGCTGATAAAATTTTGATTCTAATATTCTGTGAGAAATATTTAAAAATATGACAGAAGAAATATCAGTGAAGGTTTAAAACATCATAGAAAAAGAGGATGTTTGATTTCTTTAACGCAGTACAGCAGAATAATCAGAGCTGGCCTCACACAGCAGGGGGCGCTCTCCTCCTGATGCTAAACAATCATGTTTGGGCTCGAAACACAAAGTAATAAAACTTGAACTTTGCTGCATTAAAGTTAGACGATGAAAATGATTCATTTTACAGTCTGACAAAGAAAAGAAGAAGAAGCTGGACGATGAATTATTTTGGTTCCTGTTTGTGTTAGTTGGTGTTTTATTGCTGCTTTGCTGCCACCAAGTGGCCAGAGTTGTCACTGCAGCACATTGTGACAGAAAATGTTTTTTAGCTGCTTTAAAGCATGAAAACATTCTTCTAAAACTTCAAAAAGCTCTAACTTAAAAAATCAGGAATTGCTATCACGGATTGGACTTGAAAACCCGACTTAAAGAAATTCTTTGATTTTTCTGATGGGACACAGAACCAGAAGTCTGCGGTCCAACACGCTTCTGCTGTGAACAGAAGAAACTTCAGGAAACATCTAACAGTCGTCATTGTTCGGCCTTCATGTTCCACCAAACCAATATTCATCAGAAGCAAAGATCGGCAATCAGGAGCTGATTGTTTGACTCCTGCCTGTGTTTCCAGTCCAAATGTAGCTTCCCCGTGACGATCCGTCTGCTGACCTGTAGTTCAACTTTTAGCAGTGAATGTAGTGAAACCTGGGCTCTCTGTTAACGAGTCACCAGCCAAACATTAAGGTAGAAAACATTAACCCTAACCCTAACCCTGTTGTACCAAGTGTCAAAACTGAAGCAATAAATTCAACGTGAAGACAAAACGCTGCAGCGTCTCTGTGGTTGTTGGGCTGGGAAAACGTCTTCAGGCTGTGGAGTTTATCTGAATTAGTTCACTTGAGACGAGATGACATCAGACCAATAATCTATGAAGCTGCTGCTGCGCCTGCTGGAGGGCACCAAAAGGAACCAATCAGAGCCAATCAGAGCCAGGAGGCGGGGCTTACCGGATAGAAAATCTGTAGAAATCATAATATTAAATGTTTAACATCAGTTCTCCTCATCTGGGTCTTCAATAAGAGACACGTATCAGGATTTGTGAGTAAATATAGCAGAATATTGAACATTTATGATGCTGTGTGATCATTTGACCACAAACTGAGTTCCTTTCATGAGGATCCGGCAGATCTCTAATCCGTTCAGGGATTTACAAACTGCCAGCAGGACTGAAAAACTATGAAGTTTAAACTACTGTAGAACCGTGTGGTGTAGATCTAGATGATGTAGTGTAGATCTAGGCCGTGTAGATCTAGGTGGTGTAGATCTAGATGATGTAGTGTAGATCTAGGCCATGTAGATCTAGGCCGTGTAGATCTAGATGATGTAGTGTAGATCTAGGTGGTGTAGATCTAGATGATGTAGTGTAGATCTAGGCCGTGTAGATCTAGGCCGTGTAGATCTAGGCCGTGTAGAACCTGCTGGACGTTGGTTTGTCATCAGACCTGCTGCAGGAATCATAGTTGGATGATTTTCTCTTTTGTTTCTCTGGTTCTGGAAATGTTCTGCACCTGATCAAAGGACCACTGTGGAACCCGCTTTATGTGGCTCTGGAGGGTCAGATCAGAGGTCGGAGGTCAGCCTGATTTCTAGTTTACAGCTGAAACAACTGAAACTGATTCCAGATCTATAAGTATGGATCTATGTCTCCAGATTTACAGCTCTAGAGCTATAACTCTACATCGTTCCTCTTTAGTAACTTCAGTTTCTGTTCAGAAAGTTTCGTCTCATCCACCCATTCCTCTGGTGTCTATTCAGTGATGGATGGGGTCAAAGGTCACCTGGAGACATCTTAACAGAGATGTGCGTTATCTGTGTCATCATGGTAATGGATCTTATTTCCTGTTATAACCTGATCCAGTGGGAGCAGAGACATGGAATCAGAGGGTCCTCGGTTGGAGCCCTGAGGAACAACCGACCAGTTCTTCAGGCCGGACTGGAGCCAGTTGAGTTCTGGACTGGAGCCAGTTGAGTTCTGGACTGGAACCAGTTGAGTTCTGGACTGGAACCAGTTGAGTTCTGGACTGGAACCAGTTGAGTTCTGGACTGGAGAGGCTGCAGGATAACTTTTCCTACCTAACAGAAGTGACAACAATAAAGGAATGAATGGATGAAAGGATGAAGGGATGAAGGGATGAATGGATGATGCCGGTAGGTTTTTCCTATCTTGCATATGTTTTTATTTCATCGTATAGAATAATTGATGACGATATTCAACAAAGAGATGAAGAACGTAAATAAAGTAAATGACTTGCATAGCAATGTTTCTGCAGAGCCGCTGGTTTCAGCGGGATGTGGAACCATCAGTCAGGCTGTTTATCAGCTGCATGATCAACACATAAACTGACATATGAGATTGATGAAGGTCTGACATGTTGTGACATTTTACAAAACGTTTCATTGCTCTGCTGAATCACAGTCATTAAAAGCAACCTTAAGTTTCTGGATGTTAGCTTTGCTGCATAATGCTTCAATGACTGAATGAATATGGAACGTCTTAAAATGTATTGGATCATTTTTCACTTCTCACCATAAAAATGATAGAAATTTCCTTTTGTATAATCAGTGGGCCCACTGATTTGACATGTGATCAATAGTCAATTTGATATTTACTATTAATCAAAAGGAGGGAATTGTGGTGGGAAATAGTTAACATCTGCTGATCATGTGATATGAAATGCCGGTGAACTCACCAAAAGAACCATTTGGGTTCCATGTAGAAGGTTGGAGTCATTTTCTGCAGCTGCATCAGAACCAGGCCTTCTCGCCTTCAGATCCTTGGTACAAACTCACATGTTGTCTCTGCCTGTCAGCTTTTATCAGACCTGCTTCATTATTGATCGTCCTCTGAGCTCTGAGTTGTGAAC